TTGTCGGCCATCATTCTTTTCTAATTGTTGCAGTTGTCGGCCATCATTCTTTTCTAATTGTTGCAGTTGTCGGCCATCATTCTTTTTCAATTGTTGTCGCATTGTCACTGATGTCGACCATTATGGTTTTTTTAATAGATGTATAGTAATCATTGATTAAAATTTAAAGGAATTGTTTGTAAATAGATATGCAACACATCGTACACTTCAGCATAAGAAATTGCCGATTTTAACTTTCATTACGTAATACTACTTTGCCCTGTACTGACAGTACTCATAATTTTTTTTATACATAATATTTAAATGTAATTCCTTCAAATATAAATTATAACGTGGTTCCAAATTTAATTATATGCTTCTTTAACTTTTGTTTTCCTTTTTAAATAAAACAACTTTTTACTTAAATTGTATATGTACATATATATTTTAACGATAGGATCGAATAGAATAATTACAATATAATAAGTTAAAATGAGTTAACATGCCTGAATGTTACATACAGGACAATAATACATCAATCAAAATAATGGTGTTCAATAAAAAAATAATGATAAAACTACGCAAATTCACATCCTTGATGCTTAGTAACGGCTTCTTTCATGTTGTAGTACCAGGTCTTGATATTGGACTTCTTTAGTAAATCTTGAAAAGCATCACATCCTTCTATGCTTGACAGTATCCCATAAACTGATAAGTCCGCTAAATTCGGTTCTTTGCCACCCATGAAAGGGGTCCCTTTCTTATTTACCTCCTTGACCCAGTAATTACATTCATCATAAAGGGATTGACGAACGTCATCCTTCAAATGGTGCCTGGAAGAACAAAGGAAACAAAATAAATGGAAAACCATTACAAACAATTAAAACAAAAGAATGAACACAAAAAAAGTGTCCTAAACAATTAGAAACAAATGAATCAAAGTGTTGTTACCTTTTCTTTAGCCTTTTTCCAACCAGCCACATTGCATAAGCGCCTACATATACCATTAAGTACTTTTCCCACACAGGAAAATGTTTATCCCATTCTGCCACTTCAGAAAACCATCCAAAAGCCTGTAGAGCTTCCTCTCTTGTACGGTACACATTTGGAGAAAGCACATGAACCAGAACTTGATCAGCCCACTTACGCCATTTTCGTTCTTCACTGAAAAATTATTGAACAATAATGATTTCTGTTCATTTTAACGGTACAATTGAATTACTTTATATCATCAAGGCTTTTCAGTCTGTCAGCATTCTCTCCAAGCATCAAGAAGTATTTGTTCATTATATCTTTTTTAATAGAGCCGTCTTCATCTTGAAAAGAAATAAAAGGATAATACCCTGTAATTTCTTCAATGTCTCTTTTTGAATCCCTTAAGACCGACGACAGAGCTGATATTATCATACTGCTGTCATTCAAAGGCTAAAACAATCAGAATTATTTACCAGTAAAACATATGTGTATATGGTAGTTTACCTGATATTTATTTTCCCCAACATTTACTAACAAAATGGGCACTTTCTTATATGGGGACCATTTAATAGATTGTCTTAAAACCGGGTCCACTTCAATGACATCGTATGATATACCATAATAATCTAGAAAGGCTCGAACTTTGCAGCAAAACGGGCAAGTTTGGTACTGATACAATGTTAGCTTCAAACCACTTTGATCTCCAGGTATTCTTATCTACAAAATGTGCACTGAGCTGTGAACTAATCCAAGAACAAAAATACCAATGGGACTTTACCTTTTTTGATGGAGGTATTTCAGGGGGGTTTTCGATAAGTGGAATTGCAACTTCTTCATTAAGTATGTGAGTCTTGGGCTGATTAAGTTGATGAATAGAATAACCTGTCCCGATTACACCCCCCAACGTTACACCAACCAAGCCAAGCTTAACAAACGATCTTGACTTTTTAGCAGATGATGTGAATCTTCTGATGTTGTCATGTGTATGACCAACCACAATATTCTTATAGTATTTAAACAAATAACTTGTGTTACGTGTTAATTTACTACTTCGGCATAGAAAGGACATTCCTTACACTTTTATTATTCAAAAGCACCTGCAAAATCAAATTATAACCCCAAATTCTGACGTTTAATAAATATGGTTATTCAATTTTTAAACAAAGATGATGCCATTGCTATGCATATGTCAGACAAAGAGAGAAGCATACTTTCGCTTGTGAAATAGTTGTGATGACGAGTATGTAACCTTAAAATTTATTGAATGATTTTAATTAATATGAAGACTAAACGGTTGTTTTCGGCATTTAGCAATAAAAAACACATTTTATCGTCTATACACAAACTTCATACATCAAATAGAAACTCGAAATATATTACAACAGGTAAGTACTTACCGATTTTCGTATTTATTTATGTTCATTCTACACTCTATGGTAATACATTATGGATGACTTTGACTGCATAAAGTCTATTTAGCCACATAATAATAATGGTACTTTCGGGGACATTAATCAATAAAGAAATGGAACCTGTTACAGATTTACCAGCTGCTTATGTTCCACACGAAGTCGATAAAATTGATCCTAAAGATTATTTCGAAATACCATTATGTTCTTCAATACCATTTTCACTAATACTACCCCCACCGAATATTACGGGGACATTACATCTGGGTCATGCTTTAACTGCAACAATAGAGGACGTTTTGGTCCGTAGGTCAGTTAAAAATAATTATGTTGTGGATATAATACACCGTTTAAGTTAATTTAGAAATCGTATGCGAGGCATTAAAACCGTTTGGGTCCCTGGAATAGATCATGCAGGTATCGCCACACAAGTAGTGGTGGAAAAGAAAATTTGGAAGGAAAGGGGACTTACCCGCCATCAGCTGGGAAGGAATGAGTTTGAGAAGGAAATATGGAAGTGGAAAGAAGAGAAAGCAGCAATTATAGGTAAGAAATGGGAAAGGACTTGTCCTTAATTAAATAGTTATAATTTTTTTATTGAATTGTTTAGCTCAACAACTTCGTCGTCTCGGGACATCCCTCAACTGGTCTATGGAGACATTTACAATGAACGAGTCTCAGTCTTCGGCTGTCAAAAAGGCTTTTATACAACTTTACGAAAACCATTTAATCTATCGCTCTGATTATCTAGTTAGTTGGTCGTGCTCACTTCAGTCTGCCATTTCTGATATCGAAATTGAACACGTGGAAATAAATGGCCCCACAATGGTGAACGTCCCCGGGTACGAAAGTGCCGTTGAATTTGGGGTGCTAACAAAGTTTGCGTACAAACTTTGCAATTCTGATGGTAATTTATTCAGATTTAATTTAAATAAACTTATAATATTTAGAATTGTTTTCGTTTCAGATAAAGAAATAGTTGTGGCAACAACTAGACCTGAAACGATCCTAGGAGATGTGGCTGTAGCTGTTCACCCGAACGACGCAAGATATTCTCACTTTGTAGGAAAATATTTACAGCATCCATTCAGAAAAGAACACATTCCTGTTATTGCTGACGAATCGGTCGATCCACAATTTGGAACAGGTAGGACTTATAACGTAATAACTAAAGGATATTAAAAAAATTATTCCAAAAATTTTGAAAAAGTAAGTAGATATAAAAATGTGTGAGGAATTTAATGGTGCTAAGAGTTTTGGCATACACAGTCAAATAATCCAATGGCGTCAACCTAAAGTGTGTAGGTCGAATACGCGTACAACATTGAAAACATAAAAAAGCGCACGTAATTTTTCGGATATTAAAAGAATTACTCTGAAATGTTTAAGAGGGCAAGAAGATAGAAAAAAGGGTGAGGAATTTAATGGTGCAAAGAGTTTTGACATACATAGTCAAATAATCCAGTGACGTCAACCTAAATTGCGTAGGTCGAATACGCGTACAACACTGAAAACATAAAAAAGCGCACGTAATTTTCGTATATTAAATGAATTACTCTGAAATGTTTAAAAGAGCAAGAAAATAGAAAAAAGGGTGAGGAATTTAATGGTGCAAAGAGTTTTGGCATACACAGTCAAATAATCCAGTGGTGTCACTCTAAATTGTGTAGGTCGAATACGCGTACAACATTAAAAACATAAAAAAGCGCACGTAATTTTTCGGATATTAAAAGAATTACTCTGAAATGTTTAATAGGGCTAGAAGGTAGAAAAAAGGGTGAGGAATTTAATGGTGCAAAGAGTTTTGGCATACACAGTCAAATAATCCAGTGGTGTCAACCTAAAGTATGTAGGTCGAGTACGCGTACAACACTAAAAACATAAAAAAGCGCACGTAATTTTTCGGATATTAAAAGAAGTACTCTGAAATGTTTACGAGGGCAAGAGAATAGGAAAATTGGTGAGGAATTCAATGGCGTAAACAGTTTTGACATAGTTAATCAAATAATCCAATGGCCTTAACCTAAAGTGTGTAGGTCGCATACACGTAAAACATTAAAAACATAAAAAAGCGCACGTAATTTTTCGAATATTAAAAGAATTACTCTGAAATGTTTAAGAGTGCAAGAAGATAGAAAAAAGGTTGAGGAATTTAATGGTGCAAAGAGTTTTGACATACATAGTCAAATAATCCAATGGCGTCAACCTAAAGTGTGTAAGTCGAATACGCGTACATCATTAAAAACATAAAAAAGCGCACGTAATTTTTCGGATATTAAAAGAACTGCTCTGAAATGTTTAAAAGTGCAAGAAGATAAAAAAAAGGGTGAGGAATTTAATGGTGCAAAGAGTTTTGTCATACATAGTCAAATAATCCAGTGGCGTCAACTTAAAGTGTGTAGGTCGAATACGCGTACAACATTGAAAACATAAAAAAGCGCACGTAATTTTTCGGATATTAAAAGAACTGCTCTGAAATATTTATGAGCGTAAGAAGATAGAAAAAAGGGTGAGGAATTTAATGGTGTAAACAGTTTTAGCAAGTACGTTAAAATTATCCTGTGGTATGAACACAAAGTTTGCAGTATAAGAAGGTATTGATTGTGATAAGAAAAAAACCATTTTGCAGTACGTACTTAAATTATAGTAGGCACCTAATATTTGTTCATGTGTGAGACCCTGTATTTAGGTTTATCAGATCGTTGTAAATTTATTGAACGTGAACGGTAAAGTAAGAGGTTTCAAAAGTGCAATGTTCGAAATAAGGTCGAAGAAATAAATAACGAAATAACTGCAAGTTAGGGGTTTCCATTAAGGGTAGATCGTAACTATTGCCCTTGCCGCGACTTTGGAGCTGGCGAAGCTAATAAATTTAATTCCGAATGCTTTAGAAGACTTCTGCACCACAATACAAAGCTTTCAAGGGATTCTTCTAATAACAGTACTTATAATGAATTCTACTTAATAAGGTTTTATGGTATTTTCAAATAATAAATAATATTGTTTGTGATATTTATGAATAAATAAATGGTCGACTTAGTCATCACCAGTGTAGTCTTATATAAAATTTAAAGGTTTTTTCAAGTGATTGTGCCCCTTAGCCCACTTTTTAAATGTTTTTTTAAAGTTATGAATCTCTTTAATAGAAATAAAACATGCTTCTACAGCATACGTAAGTTTTTACGTAATTATAACCTAACATTTGACGCAACGAAGTATACCGTACACCGTGGTAATTGTTGTAAATTGATTCGATGCATCTGATTGGTTACTGCATTGGCGGCCATTTTGTCGACTGATTCAAAACTAGGTCAAGTTGGGTACATGTGTACTAGAAGGAATACAGAAGTAAACAATGGTACGGTAACATAGTAACATTAACTAGAAAGGGGTTGTTAACTAATTTAGATGCAGTTTTCACTGAATTTTTGAATTTTATTGATATTTAAGATAAATAATAAATAGATACTCTTGATTTACCTACAAAGTGTCGAAAATTAAAAAATTGTATTATATATTACTTTAAACTTTAGAAGTAAATTTTTATAACATGAATTTAAGATTGATTGCCTCTCTTATAATACTTACTACATATACTAGTTTTATTTTACTTTTTGATCTGTTCGTTTGTAATATAAGTGGCTTGTCATATGGATCGGTTTGGTTCGTTGGATCGCAGTAGATTAGTAATTCCGGGAATATTGAAAACGCGTCTGGAATAAAATCGGCGACGAGACCTCACGAAAAGTTCAATGAATCCGTGCAAATGCGAGATGAACGAGTAGATTTATAGCTAGAGACGAACCAAACGAAAACTTACAGACACGTTACAAATTTATGCAGAGACATTTTTCGTAAGTAGGGGTAGATAAAGTTACTAACTGTTTTAAATATCGTGTAAATATCAAAATAACTTAATCTTTAACAAAACTTATTACGTATTATGTGGCAGGCATTACAAAGAGTACTACTTAATGTTAATTGTAATATATATTTTCTTTTATCTTTTTATAGTAAATTAAACTACCTACTGCAATGTGTAATATAATACCAAATAAAGAAATAATTCATCGACGATTGGGGTTTCCTCAATCTAATTGTAAGTTAGGGGTTTTTTAAAAGTAACATTACAATTACTTTGTGGAATCCTGCAATCAATGATGGTAGACGAAATATAATATGTCGTTTATAATGTCTGATGCAAGTTTTCCATACGTGACAAGTTTGAATTTGTCCTTCGTTAAGTTTTAATTGCAAAAATTGATAGGTCCTTCATTGCGTTAGAGAGTAGTTGGACACTGGACACAGTCAAGTATTATGTCAAATTAAACTCGCAAAAATCGCTGATGGTATGTACGACTCGTTATTAAAAAAAAAAAAACAAATTGCGAACGACCAGACTAGTAGAGTCACGAATAATCTTCCTAGTGATGTAGGAAATCCATACAGGGTGTTAATTAATGATTTTTTTAACTTTTGGTCTTCGATGTTGTCTCAGTTTGCGTCTCGTTGGTTGCAGGTGCGGTGAAAATAACCCCTGCTCACGATCCCGTAGATTTCGAGACGGGTCGTCGACACAATTTACCCGTTTTGCAGATAATCGACGAGAAGGGTAGTCTGTCGAAAAGTTGTGGACAATTTTCAGGACTGCCGCGCTTTAGAGCTCGTGACGCTATTATAGAGGAGCTCGACAGATTAAATTTACTCAGGGGCCGTCAGGGCCATGACATGACGGTCCCACTTTGTAGTCGTTCCAAAGACGTTATCGAATTTTTGGTGAAACCCCAGTGGTTTCTCAGATGCAGTCGAATGGCCGAAAAAGCGGCCGAAGCCGTGAGAAACGGGCAGCTCGAAATTCAACCTTTGCAATACGAAAAGACTTGGTTCACTTGGCTCAACAACATAAGGTAAATTAACACATTAATTATTTATTAGATTGCGATTGGCAAAGTACGACGTTGATAATGTCTACTGTGATAAATGCATTAAAGAAAAATTAGTCTGACACATTTAATGAGTCAAAAAAGAAAGAATTGTAAATAATTTAATGGTATACAGACACTTTGGGATCAAAATAACCCATTACGAATTAATAATTGAAATAGAATTGTTATAAACGAATGCCGCCGGCAGTGATCTATACCAGCCGCACCTTCGATGCTGTTACGGAACGAACAAAGACTGCGTAACTTACGGGAAGTTTCCGGAAACATCAGGAACATTCGGCTGACAATTGTTGAAGCATTCTTCATAAAGTAACAATTAAAATATATTAAAACTGTTAGTTTATGTTTTCCTAAATTATTTATTGAAAAATATGACGCCTTTTGACGCTTAAGTTATTGTCACAGCTTTTACAAGAAGTACTTTACTTTACAAAACTAATAATTTAAAAATTGTGAAACAAATACAGTATGTGTTAACAAACTGTGATTAATTTCATAATTTCTGATAGAAATTTTTTTATCTTTAAACCAGTTTTCGTTATTTTCTTGTAAAATCACTTAAGCCCCTGCCCGTCTGGCTGTGAAATTTGTATTCCAAACAAAATCGAAATGTATTTTTCGCATACACTGGTAAATTATAAAGATTGCGAGTTGCAAACTTAAGGATCGTGGAAAGAATTGAAGTAAATCTACTAACTTCGCTCCTAACGTGTTAAATCTAAACGGACTAAAACTTCGGTTGGTGGTCGGTATGCGTCTCGAATTTTTAAGCGAAACAAAATTTACAGCCCTTATCTTTAAGAAAGTAGTACCTACCTAAATGATGTATTTCTTTTACGTGTTAACACCAGACGAAATATTTAGAACACAAGGGGAAACAACAAAAAGTAACAGTTCTGTGGTTAACGTATTAAAGTACGGTAGTAATTTTTTGATACTTAATTCAATGGTATACAACCTTTGGGGTCAAAATTGCCCACAACGAATTGATAATTGAAAAAGGATTCTTACGAACGAATGCCGCCGGCAGTGATCTATACCAGCGGCATTATCGATGCCATCACGCAAAGAACAAAGACAGCATTTTGTAACTTGCCTGAAGTTTCCGGAATTTTTCAGAAACATTAAAATGAAATTGTTGAACCGGTTTTAATAAAGCGACAAATGATTGATGTTTTCGGAAATGATTTAATGACAAATTTTATCTTTAAGAAGGTGGAATCTAAATGATGTATTTATATATGTACTTTATAGTATTTATAAAGTTCTAATTCATACAACGTATAAAAAGTGTAGCAAATTTCCGTTTTTTGTAAAAATATTCCAACTTCCAATATCTCGGAGAATATGATATGGGATATGAGGGATTGGAGATTTTATTATTTTCCGTATTATTAACACAAATCGGTTCAAATTCTCCACATAACTTTATTATCGACGTTGGAAATGGGTCACAGGGGTTCTTTTCCTGACCAATAATTTCCACCAAACGTCGCATTTTTATTGACCATCGGAAGTAGCAATATGAAACGTTTTGTTATTACAAATGTACGAACGTCTTCACATCTTTTTATTTCATGGATATTCTCGCCCATGAAACACTCTTAGTTGTTGTAAATTTATTTTATTATTATAATAATCCCAACCGATATTATAAATGCTATTGTGAGTTTATTGGTTTGTTCATTACCATTTTACGACCCAACTACTGAACCAATCATCATGAAATTTTGTATACACATTGTTAGGGGTACAGGAAAGGACATAGGGTACCTTCTATACAGAAAAAATATACTATTCCCGAGGGATATAAAAAATAATTTTGCGTGGTCGTCGATAATCTTTTACGCGCTGTAATTTGCGGTTTTTGGAATTAAGTCCTTTTATAGAGACTGGTGTATTTCACGTCAGTTGTGGTGGGGCCATCGGATCCCTGCGTTTCGGTGTTTCTCGCGATCTAATCCTCAAGAACAAGTCTGGGTCGCTGCCGAAGATGAAGATACAGCTCAAGGTAAAGCTGCTCTAAGGTTAGCAATTGAAAAGGAGACTGTTGTTGTCAAACAAGACGAAGACGTTTTGGACACTTGGTTTTCATCTTCATTGTTACCGTTTTCTGCGTTTGGTTGGCCTCGACAGGTAAGAGTTTTGATTTACAAATTTGTTGGCAATAGTTTGAATGAAACTTGATACATTATAAGGATTTACTGATGATTTGCAGCTGATCGCAAGGAGTCAATCTTATTGTGTTTCGTCTGATGGGATGGGCAATAAGTGGTCGACGAAACGTTGTACATTCTTTTTACATTATTATGCCAATAAGACTGGCTCCTTTTGATCAATTACAAATTATAGAATTATTTGAATCAAAATTCTCAGTTCACATTCTTCATTCATTGTTGATCAAGGGGGAGATTTGGATACTGTAAAAAATTTACTGTTTAGACAAATATCAACAGAAGCAAAAGATATGGGTCGACTTTATAACATCCTGGTTGGAATTACATCTTTAAACAAGTGTCTTTGCTTCCGTAAATTCCCGAGAATGTTGAACTTTCTTTAAAGTCCGAGGCTCAAATTCTGGTTTTCTGCATCTCTTTCTCTTATACATCAATTGGTTAATGTTATTCCTTTTTCTTTATTAGTGTCCGCTGCAATTTCTACCTAGCATCTCTTTTCTACGTTTACGATATTCCCTATAACGTCAGTCGCGAGTACAAGTAGTCGTTCTGTTTTGGTTTATTTTTGAGTTCAGAATTTCGTCTAAAACCCATCGAAAACAGGGAATCTTTTCCACTGGTTTCGCTACGTGTGAAATGTAGTTATGTGACGACAAAAGAATCCCGTTTTAAATATTAATGTGTCCATTATTATCGAAGGGTAAAGCCCATCTGCGACTGCATGTAGGCACACAAAGGGCGCCTCTCGCCCTTGAATACAAAAGATGAACTCTAAGAATTTCCTCGCTTTTAAAGAAATGGAAGGTAGAAAAGTACACACTTCTTCCTCCACCACCCACCCCCCCGATAAACACACCTACAAAACACGCGTATGTGTATGTAGTATCAACCCCTTTGAGGTCTGCCTGCACTCCACAGATTTGCATTATCTGCAGATGATCCAGATATGTTTCATAATAACAATTCACGCGTGAAATCCATCGCAATAATGAAATGCTATCTTTAGAGAAATCGGATAGAGTGTACATTAAAAAAATTACAAAATGACAGTATAGAGGGTGATTCAAAAATAAATAATCATAATCATAAGGTCGTCAGTCATAGGACTGGTTGGACACGCACCTTCACTCTTTTATATTTTGAGATAATCTTCGCATTTTCCTTAAACGACAACATTCCACATTCTTAACTATTTGTAAACAGTAATCTAATCTTGGTCTTCCTCTACTCCTCTTAACTCCCGTTTCTGCCTCTAACATGTCTCTGACTAGCCCTTCATGCCTAAGAAGGTGACCTACCAACCTATATCGCATATATTTTTATTGTCTTCCATGGAGTCCTAGGTTCACCTATTCTTTTTAATTCCTCTTCATTTCTAACCTTCTCTATCCACGATATCCTCATCATTCGCCTGTAACACCACATTTACAATCTTTTCTTTGCCCCCGCTTCCGCCATCCAGGTTTCGCACTTGTACAGAGTCGTCCTTTAGACATTCATCTTTAATTACATTTCTAGATTCACCGTTCAAAAGCATATGAGTGACTCTCTTTTTTGTTAAACGCGATTCGACTCTGCGTTATTCTCTGATTTATATCTCTACTACTCTTTCATCCTAAGTTGTCTAACTTCCTAAGTACCAAATAATAACATCTTAACCATAATAAAATCCATCGTTTTCATTTTTCTAAATACAATAATACGTTCTTTTTTACATTTAAAATCTGACGCTGTACGTCGTGGTTTCTTACAGACTGAGGAACTACAAAACTATTACCCTTTGAGTCTGATGGAAACAGGTCACGACATTATTTTCTTTTGGGTAGCTAGAATGGTCATGCTAGGGCTAGAACTTACCGCAAAGCTCCCGTTTTCAAAAGTTCTGCTCCATGGCGTAATATGTGACGCAAATGGTAAAAAAATGTCAAAAAGTATAGGCAACGTTATAACACCAGAAGAAGTAATTTCGGGAGCCTCATTAAAGGTAAGTGAATTACTGAAATAAACTTCGACACTAAAAAAAATGCATTTAATTAATTTATAAAGTAAAAAATTACTTGAAAATCTCTAAAAAAGTAGAAAATTAACACTGAGGCGTTTTATACTTTTCATACTCTTCTTTTTGACGTGACAACGTCTTATAATTCGATGGAGCCGGCTGCACGCACGAAAAAACATGACTCATGCGGCGTTACCTAGCTCTGAGGCGTTCCATTTAAGGCTTGAAGTGCAAGCGAGAGCGCGGAACGAGCGACAAAGAGGCACAATAGGCCTCCGCGTTCGGCAGCGTTCGACATCTATCTCTCTCCTACTTGAGTGAGCGATGCGTCCGCGTGGACAGCTGCTATACAATAATACATTTCCATTTACCTCCTTCTCTATATCCATACAAAATATCTATCAAACAAATAAAATTAAAATCTTCTTTTGAAAAATGAAACCATTCCGTCAGTATTTTCTTATGACGTTGTCACGTTCAACTATCGTCAGTAAACCGACTTTACAGACAACCGATTTTTTTTTTGAAGTAAACCGCTTACAATGCCGGTCTAATTAAAATCTGACTGTGTAGTTACTATTTAGCAACGTCATTCCTAATGAAAAAGAATCTAGCGAGATAACTTTTAATTAAACTGCATTCTATTGAAAAACTCATATATACGAAGTTGTATGACAACTTTTAGACATTTACAAACGGCTTATTTTCCATTGAATTTTTTAACTGAAGCCAATGTTCGTGAATTTTCCAACTTTCTTACTAATTAGTACAAACAGATGTAACATGTTCTTCTTTTATTATTTTTTTTGTTGTTATTAAAACTGAATTCTTTTGTATTTTGACTTGATTATTAATCGAACCAAATCGAACTTTACACTTAAATAATGACCAATGACAAAGTATAATCCTTCCTTAAGGACTTTCCCAATTATTAGCCCACAGAGCAAAATATAAGATTTTAAAATTACGAAAACCAAACAAATATTTCTCATTTACAAAAAGTAAAAGTGGGAAACAATCACTCCTGCGACCTTATATTACATATAACGTCGTAAACCTGAAATTTTTTGAGTGTCTGGTTTCTTATTTATAATGTCCCTATTATTAGGATGAATTATTACGAGTGTTCCCGTAGGAATTGGAAAACAGTTTGAGAATAAACAACCGCACAGGTATACTGACCGATTGGGAAACGTCTCGGGCAATCGCGAGTCAAAGAAAAATGTTTCCCGAGGGAATACCCGCATGCGGCGTGGACGCATTGCGATTCACGTTGTGTTCGCACAATATTAAAAGTAAGTATCCGCATTCCGGAAACGAACGGGAAACGGAGATTAGGACAGTCGTACGTTTCCTCCCTATTTCAGCCTCTTGTTGACTTTACCTACTCGGAGTGTTCCACTTCACTGTGTGACCCTCGTCGTTCTTCCCTCTCCAGGAAACGGGAACGAAATAAGCGGAAGTTTTAACGACTTTACGTGACCGAGGAGGGTTTTTTCTTCTTTTTTTTCTCTCTCCTGCTTTCCACTTTGATGTCATACTCAAATTAGAAACGTTTTGTAACAAGGGTGTCGTGAATATTATGTGGAGTATGTAAATTGTACAGGGTGGACCCAGTCGGGCTTTCTTTTATCATCATCATAAGGTCGTCAGTTCTAAGACTGGTTGAACACGTGCCTCCACTCTTTCCTATCCTGAGCTAATCTTCGCATTTCCCTAAAACTAGAACATCCCACATGTTTAACTATTTATTTCACTGCTATCACTGTCAATTTATTTCCGGATTCACTTCTGCCACTGTCAATTTATTTCTCCTCTTTCTCGGCGATCGTCTCTTCCTTTAAATACTCTTTTGTTTACTTTCGGAAACCTTCTGGAAACATCCGGATAGTGTATTTTTTTTTTGTTTTATTTGTATGAACTGTTTAGCTGCTTTCATAGAACGCAGGTACGACATACACATTTACGAATACTAAAACATCCCACATCCTTAACTATTTGTGAACAAGAATCTAATCTAGGTCTACCTCTACTCATACTAACTCCCGTTTTTGCCTCTATTTATTTCACTGTTGTCACTGTCAATGTATTTCTCCTCTTTCTCGGCGATCGTCTCTTCCTTTAAATACTCTTTTGTTTACTTTCGGAAACCTTCTGGAAACATCCGGATAGTGTATTTTTTCTTTGAACTGTTTAGCTGCTTTCCTTAACTATATGTGAACAAGAATCTAATCTAGGTCTACCTCTACCCCTCCTAACTCCTGTTTCTGCCTCTAATATGTCTCTGACTAGACCTTCATGCCTGAGAAGATGTCCTACTAACCTATCTCGCCTATGTCTTATTGACTTCCATAAAGTCCTCTGTTCTCTTACTCATTTTAATACCTCTTCATTTCTAACCTTCTCTATCCACGGTATCCCCATTCGCCTATAACACCACATTTCGAATTTTTCTAAATGTCTCCTACCTATCCGCTCCTCTCTTTTTAGGTATGGTTACTACCACGTTCCATTTCTAATTCTCTGGAACTTTCCCCGTCTCGTAAATTAAACATACGATCTCTAACCTCTTATCCTGTATGTTTTAGATTTTCCCCCTGTATCCTATGTACACCTGAAGCCTTATTGTTCTCTAAATTTTTTAATGCTACATGGAACTCTTCTCTCATTATGGGATAACCTAGCTCATCTATCTCCACACCATCTTTCCACCTACCTTTTATGCGAAATAATATTTATAATATTTCTTTCCGCATCCCTATCAGTTTTTCCTGGTTACTCTGCTTTCTCTGACATTTGTCTAACCTTTTTGGGTTTCCTTAACATACTTCTGGCCATTTCTAGATTCCCTGGTATCTATGAGGTTCCCCAAAGCACCTTAGACATTACCCAAATCTTTCTAATGCTCGATAACCCTTTTCTGACTTCTCCGAGCTCCTCAAACTAAATCATCCCACATCTCAATCTATTGACTTCTCTTTCCGGTTCTGATTTTTCTCTAACTAGCGTCACGTCTCCAACTCGGTCTCCCTTTTTTGTTGTCTGACATCCTAGACATTCTTTTATTTAACACGTAATGAAAGCACAGATTCCAAAAAATTTTTTTTTTCGTAGACCATTTCATTAATTTTGACGTCAACGAATGTAACACAAATCGTCTGTTTTGCAATAAGTTGTGGCAAGCCACCAAGTTCATGAAACGATCGGTTCAGAAAGTCGACGCCGTTCAAAAAATTTCGACATCCTCGTCAAACAATCTTACACCCATGGACAAATGGGCACTTAGCCGATTATCCTTGATGGTAGACAGCGTGAATAAAGGGTTGGACGACAACGATTTTCATATAGCGACTTCGTCAATTAAGAGTTTCCTGTATCAGGACTTTTGCGACGTTTATCTGGTATGTTAAAATGTGTTATATTGATTAGTAACTTATCTGCGTGATGGCCATTGACATACGGAAGAGCTATTTTTAGTTTAGGAAACAAAATTTAGATGCTGTTACACGTATGTTTTCGATAATAGGATTACGACTTTCTTTTGTTATTTTCTCTTTAAAAATCGCTACCAATTTGTGTCACTAAATCCTTGCTGTATAGGAGAGTACCAAGAAGGATTTACAGGACGTGTTGTCACCTCTGGCGGTCTCGCATTGTGTCGTTCTAACCCGATGTTTAGATGTAGGATTTCGTTCCTTAGCCCCGTTCATGCCCCACTTGACTCACTTGCTGCATCGGCATCTACCACTCGAGATCATCGGTTTCCCCCGGGACCTCTCATACCCAAGGGTCAGTTAATTCACTTAGCAACCCCCTTAGAAACCGCAAACGTTACCAAAATTTATTTCAGAACCTCCAACACAGAGATCCCAAATTGGAAGAAGATGTTACCATCGTTATGGACACCGTCGTAGCAATTAGAAGACTCAAGAAACTCTTTGGAATAACAAAAAAACACAAGAGTAAACGTAAGTATTGTTTTTGCTATCGAATGGTCGCATTTTTACGTACGAATTCTATTCGGCCAAAAACATTCGAATGTTGAGCTCAAATCTTTTACTTTTACGGTATTCCTGTGAAGTGGATGAACCGGGGGGTGGGATGGGGAGAATGAAGCATTACTGGCTGGTGGGAATGAAACACTCAAGTTTTTTTTTTTTTTTTTTGAGTATTAATGCTTACACTCACTGACATCGCATGTATTGTGTAATCAGTAATGGTGTAGGCAGCATGGGATTCGTTTGTAGAACATCGTGGTTCGAGAACCGTTCATTAAGATTGTTTAATGGTATAGAAGTCGACCTTTAAGATCGATGACGTTTCGTCAGTTTCCTACTCCTCTGTGCTAGAATCGGTTATATTACCCTACTAATGTTTTCTAGTATTAAAAAATAACGAACGAATTTTTTAATTTCCTAATCATGTTTTATTGATAGTTTTGAGGGTTCTAATACGTAAGGTGTATTCAGTCTGACGGAAGTAGGTCAAGAATGATTTAGATGCAAAACATCCCAGGGTGCTTGATAAACGTTAAATGCAAATTGCTTTAAAGCAGCTTCTAGCTATAATAGTCTGCTTTAAAGCCTGCCACTTATTCCAGACACACCCTGTATAGACACTTGTTATTTTAATGAAGATAACCCTTCAAAGGGACAAAGAATCGCTTGGCGACTTGTTAGTTGTCAGCGATTTCGTTGAAGGTGTTATTCCAAAAATCTTTGTGAGATATATTTCCACCTGATTACACTTGGTTAATTAAAAAGTTCCGTCTTGTTTGGCGAAACTTTCTCGCTCTTTTCGTCTCTGTTTACTTTGTATTTGCCTTTTTCTTGCTTCTCCTAAAGATTTATTTGCGAAAACTAATTAATAACTTCAACAAAAACAGACCGCCACCTTTTGTAATACGTAATAATCATTAAAATTGTTTGTTAAAAATTTCTAAAAATATCATGCGCTTGTTTTTAATTCGAAAGTAAAAAAGTATTTGATTTTAATTAGATAGGTACCTACACCCCTTCGAAAACAACCCTAGATGTATTGCTTTTGTTAAGTAAACCCTAATTTAGTTTAGTAATTAAAATTCTTTTTTCTTTTGTATATATGAAATAACAGTAAGGATAGTTTCAAAGCTGGCATTATTTTCGGACTTCTTGAATGTCATCAAAGACCTGTCTGCCAGTGAAACGGTGTATTTAATGGAAGAGTCCGGCCCTGTCCTGGAGGACAATTACGTTACGGATTCTGTCGGCGACGTGGCTAAAATAGAAATATTTCTCCCAAAAGAACAAAGACAGTTGTTAGAACTCGACTTGCAGAAATTAGAAAAGAAGCGAGAAAAATTGATTAAAGAACTAAATAAATTAGAGACAATGACGTCTTCTGAAAGTTATAGGAACAATGCGCCCCCTGAAGCACAACGGACACATTCTAAAAAGGTAGGCACATAATGTCTTTGTTTATCTTTAAACAACTGAAATGGGTTCTGGGCGTTCTCTTAACAGTTAAATTAAATTTTATTGTTTCTGTTGTTTATTTTGCAGATATTGGCTCTGACAGATGACTTAAGTCGTATAGAATTCATGCAAAAAATTGCTAATAAGTTATAACAGTAATGAGTAAAAAAATGTACCATTAGAGTAATCACTTGCTAGTATTATTACTTATTATTTTGTTTTTTATGCAAAAATTAATGATATAATTAATTTGCAAATAACAGTTGAAAAACTAAAAGCCAGTTTTTTGTTTTATTTTTTTTACCTTTTTTTTAAGACCAGCTGTTTTTTCACGCATGAGACTTAGGGGTACGTTAAAATAAAATACGTTAATAAATAATCAATAGATATTTATTATAAATAATTTTTTGTTGCTAAATAACCTTGTCTAAAGTTTATTTATTTGGTTAATAACTGCATCCATGGCAACTGGTATGTATCCACTTAAATTCATTAGAAACATGTGTTTAAAACAATGTTGGTTCACATGTTGTAGCCATTTCATAAAAAAAGGATAAATTTGTCGTTCCATAAACTGCAACAGATTCTTGAAAATTTTTGGAATGAATGTACTTAATCATAAATCAGATATAAACGGGTGTTATAGGCGCATAACGTTTTATAAAATACCACAAATGGCGCAGTAAACGCCATCTGTAGCACGATGCTACATTTTGGTCTGTGTTCTGTCGGAGCTTCCTGCGACGCGCTGATGAGATCCAAAAAGATCAAATTCGCGATCCGCGTCTGGCAGTTTCGACAGAATACAGACCACTTCGAATTATTTTATTCGACGCATAATGTAAATAAATTAATTTTGAACATGGGGGTAATTTTTAGGGGGCCAATAGGAAATAAAAAAAAAATAATTTTGCAAACTGTACCGCGTGACATATCAAATGAAAGAGCTTGTTGTAAGGGTCTCAAATATAATTTTAAAATAAATAGTTTTAAAGTTATTTAAGAAAATAGATGTAGTAAGTAAATATTTGATCAATTTATCTACACAATTTAATTAAATACGTATGATGGAGTCACTTCAGGGCATCAAAGATGACGTATGCAATATGGTCTTAGCAAAACAATGAAAAGTTTTTCTTGAGTTAATTGTGTAACAAGACGTTAAAACATGTGTCGCAGACAGTATTACTAAGCAGTTACATTAACATCATCTTCGTATAACTATTATTACAATATTGTGTCCCGCACGTTTTTTTGTTCAAACCTCCTTGAGCCACGGATACATTTAGTTTACATTCTCATTAGTTTCTTGCTTATAATTAGCGAATCGACAGTGATTATCTTTATAACAATTTACTGTAATAATGATGCACCTCCTATGGATTTTCGTAATCATATCGGATAATGTACAAGTGTTTTCGATGATGCCACCCCAGATAGCTCATCGTTCTCGAAATAATAGGGTAAGTCATACATTTTTTTAATATTTATCTCTAAAAAACTTTCGAGTGACTTATTTATTTAAAAATTTCGAATTTCTATTAAATTTCATTTTTTTATATAAGCCTAATTTCAATTCAGTTTAAATAATATAAAAACACATAAATTTTATAATAATTTTTCAATTGTTTCCTTTTCGTCAAAAATATTTGCAGAATAAAAATTTTTGATTCAAATTCCTGTTCAGATTACTCAAGAAAACAATGATGCAATCGAAAACTACTTTCTTGTTTTAAATAACAATCAGTTTATACACTTATGTACAAATCTGTCGATGCATTTATAGCTTTATTAACATAAAACACGAAATCGTTGTTTCTTTAGTTTAAATAACAAATACCATATCAGCGCATTCCAATCAGAACTGTTTACTGGTTTTGTATTCTTGGTAGACAACTTGTGTCATTTAAAGGTTTAAATAATGCAAAAAATGGTATTATTTCGTAAAAAATACTCTCAAGTCCTTTCAAAGCAAAAATTTTAAGATGGAATAAAAAATAGATCTATGTGATCACAGCTCTTTTTATATTTTGATGTAATAGATTTTCACCTTTTTCAAGTTCTTGGTAGAATACAGATGAAATAAATTGGTGATTTTAAAGTCAAATAGCGCACTTGTTTCTAATAACATCTCACATCAAATGATGTTAAATCGATGAAAACAATGTTCTCTTTAATGTGTAAATTGATAAGTAATTGAATGCAAACAATGGAATATCAAAGAATATCAAGAACAAACTGGAAGCCCGAAGTCAAAACACTTGACAGAAACAAAAGAATCAAGCCAGAAGTTTGTTAATCGATTCATCAAAGAGATCGTTACTTTTCGATCGATTCTGATCATTTAATGTGAGATATCTACGATTAGGAATCACTTTGAAATTGCCCAAATGTTTTAATAGTCAGATGCAGTCGTAAGAGATGGTAGTTGGAGACAGTCCACTACACCAACAACAAATTCATATTTGGCGGATGCCGCCCCTTCACAGTTAGACTATCGTCTATCGAGATTGGAAAGGGCTTTTGCTGAAAGACTAGAAAGTCTCAGAATCGACATTAAAGAAACAAATAGAAGATTGCAAGCTTTGGAATGGCAAGGTGCCGATGCTCATGCCAAAATCGATAATATAAAAAACGATCTGTCAACTTTGAGTAGTGCCGATGGTAAGAAAAGCTGCGAACTGGACCAGGCGAAATTACAAACCAAAACCGAAAATTTGTCGAAGGGAATTCAGTTGTTGGTGGCCAACATGAGATCCCTCAATGTAGACATTGGAGCCATCAGGAGTAATTTGTCCTTCCTTGCTGATAATACAAGGCAAGTATCTACTCAAGAAAACGGGAAAGAAAAGGCAAACCTGTTGAATTCAGAACATTAACTTACTAGTTCTCATTAGCACACCCTCTGGGATTAAGTTGATTAACATCATCATGTAACTGCCTGTAGTTTATAGTGTTTGACAGTAGCAGTAAATCTCTACCAGATGACTTTTTGCTATCAGTTACTTGCTAATATTAATCATCTTGCTTCCATAGTTATCATCATCATCATCATCATCATCATGGGGTCGTTACTTCTTAAAACTGTTCACTCTTTTTTACTCTGAGCTAATCGTCGCATTTCTCTAAAACTAGAACATCCCACATCCTTAACTACTTGTGGACAGTAATCTAATCTAGGTCTACCTTTACTCCCTATAACTCCTGATTTTGCTTCCAATAAGTCTCTAATTAATTAATTATTGACTACTATTCCTAATACCTACTCATTTGTAACACATTTCGAACGTTTCTAACCATTTTTTCCCGCCGCATCCACCGCTTCAGGCTTTTAACAATCTTTTTAGAATTTCTAAATTAACCGTCCCAAAGCATAAGAGTGACTCTTTTTTTTTAATGACAACTCGACCCTGCGCTATACTCTGTTTTATATCATCTCTACTCTTAGATGGTGTAACTTTTATTTTCTTGTTTCTTTGATACGCTTCCAGGGAGTTGCGACAAACCCCCGAAGGAAGTCAGTTATCTGAAGACATTGCTTCATACCATCAGCTATCGAAAAAAGACTTTCCCAAAAACTGTAACGAGATTGTCTCACGTGGATATAAAGTTTCAAAAATTTATAACGTCAAACCCGATGGGACTAACAGTACGTTTTTGGTAATGTGCGATATGGAAACGATGGGAGGCGGATGGACCGTAATTCACAATCGGTTTGATGGCAGTGAGGAGTTTTACAGGGACTGGGAGGAGTACAAGAGAGGATTTGGTAATTTAGGTGGAGAATTTTGGTTAGGATTGGAAAATATTTATCTTTTAACAGGTAGGTTACAAGAAACTATTCATTCATATCCAAATTAAGGAAAGTATGTAATGGAAAATGTAATTTAAATGTAGGTGTCACTTGTTTTTATTACGTACTAGCGACCCTACCCGCCCCATTCAAAAGATACCCCCTGAACATACTAAATATACTACAGAATGTCTTTATATACAACATTCACAATTTTTTTGTCATTAGACAATACAAACCGGCCTCCCGGCCGGTACCGCCGCAACCGCTATGTCCCTGCATTTTAAGTCTGTAATATCTTCGAAAATATTCATTTAAATTACATGCTGTAAAGGTCCATATTGATCTATATTAAATGCACAATGTATTTAAGGTACTTAATTGGATAAGAATTAATGCTGTATTGCCTACAATCGCTTCGTAAATAAGTCATTATTTCTCATAAAGTAAAGTAAAGGATGAAAATGGTTATTGTGGGTTATCCCTAAGAGATAGACATATACCATCGCGGCCTTTTTTTAGACCCCTTTAAGATGTACAATATTGTAGTACATTATTTTGATCTATCTCGTAGGGTTCAGCCAGCGTTTACAATGTTAGCGCAAAAAATGTGTTTATTTACGACATCACGTTAGAAACCTCTAAAATTATCAGTGTTTCCCTACTATATTATGCATGTATTATACATATAAACCTTCCTCTTGAATCACTCTATCTTTTAAAAAAAACCGCATCAAAATCCGNACATATACCATCGCGGACTTTTTTGTAGACCCTTTTAAGATGTACAATATTGTAGTACATTATTTTGATCTATCTCGTAGGGTTCAGCCAGCGTTTACAATGTTAGCGCAAAAAATGTGTTTATTTACGACATCACGTTAGAAACCTCTAAAATTATCAGTGTTTCCCTACTATATTATGCATGTATTATACATGTCAACCTTCCTCTTGAATAACTCTATCGTTTAAAAAAAACCGCATCCAAATCCGTTGCGTAGTTTTAAAGATTTAAGCATACATAGGGACAGACAGCGGGAAAGCGACTTTTTTTTATACTATGTAGTGATGGTACAGTCAGTATAACAAACAAATCGTGTTCCTAACTGGTTAAATATTACTTATGGAGTTTTGTGACGTAAACCCTTTCTTTATTTAATGATAAAGTCAGTTGTTATTACCATTCTTAAGCAGTGATCAGGTCTAGGTCATCCTCGCCCCTCCTGTACTCCTGTTTCTGCTAACTAATCCTTAATGTCTTGGAAGGCCTCTTACCATCATATCTTCCCCTTTTGAGGGTTCCGTACGTCCGTTTTTTTTAAATTGATATCATCCGTTGAATATGAATTGAGATATTTCGAGAACCGAAACCGTGATAATAATTTTGGTTACGATCTCCTCTTGCTGTTGATCCTGCCCGGAATTTTTCCATCCGGAAGACACGTCTTTTCCTGTTTCTCCGTCCAGATGACCGTAAATTTCCAGACAACACCTCCGCCCTTTAGGGAGAACCGTTTACGTATACCTTTCAAACAGTTAATAAATAATTGCGACTGTAGTAAGGTTGAGATGTAATGCGGCGAGAACGTGGAACCTGTTTGGCAAACAACCGACGCTCGGCGTCGTCTTTATTGCAGGAAATGAAGTGAACGAGCTGCTCGTTGAACTGGAAGATCTGGAACACAGGAGGACACAGGCTCACTACGAGACCTTCAGCGTCGGTCCTGAAGAACGCGGCTATCCTTTGCACGTCCTGGAAGGATACAAGGGCGACGCCGGTGATTCCCTCATATACCACGCCGGGTCTAAATTTAGCGCGAGGGACAAGGATCAGGACGGATGGATTGAAGGGAACTGTGCCCAGGCTCACGGTGAGAAAGAAATTTAATTTGATTCTCTCGGGTATAGGTGAATTAATTAGATAAGGTGTACTAATTGTTAAACGCTCCACTTACTCGAATATCCTTCGGGAAGTTTCAAGGACGACAAATATTTGACGTCAAAATTATGTTATCTTTTCGTCTTTGACGCTACAAGAAATATAATCTTAATATTATTCTTATTTTATATGTCAAAGAAGTATTTTACAATCATCAATTAATGACTGCTTTATGACGTTAAAATAACGTTAAATTTTCGCTAAGGTCATCTAGAAACCTTTTATTTAGTATACTTCATTTACTTTCTCTAGCGATGTGCCCCTTCCTATGTCTTGGATGCGCGCTGGCAAAATCGTAGGCAGGGAGAAAAACTCTTGTTCATTAAAAATACTCTTTCGTACAGTACCTGCCAAAAGTTTTCTTCAATCATGATTGTAGTGCGAGTCAAAAACAAGCGTTAAAGCCTTTAATATGTCTTCCAATATAAATAAACGTTTCGTTTATATTTTCAGTAGTAAATGGTACCAATAACAGCACATTTGAGTAATGCAATTGTAGTGGATAAAATGGTCAGTTTTTTCGTGCAGTACTGTACGGATTATACGCTCCTCACGGGTTAAGAGTTTGGCCGAGAGTTGTCTCCTTCCTTTTCTGGTCTAGTGCTGTTCTTTTCTACTTTGCGCCTGTCAAACTGAAGGCCACATCGCTACAGAAACTAAACGATTTGCCATTTGATGATTGTCAAAAGAAAGAAATTGCGTGAATTTTTCTAATTGATATTTACGATCTTTGGACGTCGCATTCACGTTAATTTTTGGTCATTTTAGTTACTTTTTAAAAAGAGACTAATGTATAATTTTAATAGGGGGAGCTTGGTGGTATAGGGGATGTGACACAGCCAATCTTAACGGCCGATATTTAAAGGGGGAGCTACCCGATCAGTATATTTATCAGGGCATGTATTGGGCAGGATTTAAAGGACCCAAATATAGTCTTTTGAAAGCAAGGATGCTGATAAGGCCAAAAAATGACGAAAGTGAAATCCGAAATTTGAGAAGCGCAATTTCACCGAGAAACATATAACTATATACGAACTTAAACAAACACTCAGTATTTAAACAAGTTTTAATTATTTTTATTACTTTTACCTTAATATGGAAAGTATAAAATATATTTAGTTATAGTACGTTTGTGTATGTTTTAATAAAAAAAATTCTGTGCTAATACCTGTTTATTAGATCGATAGATTAATTAGATACTTTATTGCTTCCTAGCTAAGAAGCACTTGGAACTGTCTCTCGGATGGTAAGTGTTCTTTACGACTTTGCTAATATCTTATTTTCTAGCCCTTTTCCAAAAAAAAAAAAAAATCGGTAGGTGGTGGAGACAGGTTCCCAAAATTGATGAACAAGATGATCTACAGGTAGGTAAATATAAATCGTAAATACACGAAATTAAGCCAGGAGGGTTGTTTACAAAATAAGATACATGTACCACGTACGTACGAGGGTGTGTTTTTAAGTTCGCGGAATGGGTAGGTAGGTCATTAGTGAGGCTACTTACTCGAGTCATTACGAATTAAGCAACTCATTATTACTATCACAATCAGCTGGGAAAATCATGGCGACAATCTTTTGGTACTCAGAAGGGATCCTATTGATCGATTATAAAGATAAAAGTGTCTCCATGACCGGATATCCTAGAGCAGTTAAAATTCTTCACGATCATCTTGGTATGACTAAAGTCAGCACAAGATGGATACCGAGAATGCTCACTCCATCTCTAAAACTGGACCTCTGTAGTGAAGATAAAGATGGAGTATTGACTCAAATTGTTACTGGGAACGAAACTTGGGTTCGCCCTTTGGAAACTGAGTCCAAACAGGACTCTATGCAGTGACATAAAAAAGGCATACTACCACCCAAGAAGTTTAAGGTGTCACAATCAGCTGGGAAAATCATGGCGACAGTCTTTTGGTACTCAGAAGGGATCCTGTTGATCGATTATAAAGATAAAGGTGTCTCCATAACCGGATATCCTAGAGCAGTTAAAATTCTTCACGATCATCTTGGTACGACTAAAGTCAGCACAAGATGGATACCGAGAATGCTCACTCCATCTCTAAAACTGAACCTCTGTAGTGAAGATAAAGATGGAGTATTGACTCGAATTGTTACTGGGGACGAAACTTGGGTTCACCCTTAGTAAACTGAGTCCAAACAGGACTCTACGCAGTGGCATAAAAAAGGCACACTATCACCCAAGAAGTTTAAGGTGTCACAGTCAGCTGGGAAAATCATGGCGACAGTCTTTTGGTATTCAGAAAGGATCCTGTTGATCGATTATAAAGATAAAAGTGTCTCCATAACCGAATATCCTAGAGCAGTTAAAGGAAGCAGTCAAAGAAAAAAGGAGATGAAAATTGACGACAACGCGCCTGTTTACAAAAGCCTTGTTACGATGGCTGCCCTGCAGAAGGTGGGCTTCGAAATTTTGGCTCATCCACCCTACAGTCCTGACCTAGCTCCCAATGATTATTACCTATTCCCAAACTTGAAAAAAAAAGTCTTCGTGCGAAGAAATTTTCAACCGACGAAGAAGTGAAGGATGCAGTTTCGACGTATTTTTCAGACAAATAAGACAAAACATTTTTTTTTCGAAGGTATACGTAATTTAATTGAAAAATAGGAAAAATGTATAAGGGTAGCCAGGTGAATATATTAAAAAGGAACAACAAATTCGTACTTTTATTTCTTTTTCTTACCCTCCCAATTTCGCGAACTTAAAAACGGCCCCTCGTACAGACAATTCGTAATATCAGCGGTGTCGCATATTGTCATAAAATGAAAAACATGCGTTGCCCCGAAGCCAAAATACATAGCTAATACACACATTCGTATAAAAAAGGGAAACAGTTCCCTCGGCAAATGAAGAAGTCGGCAGCGTCATCATGGTCGGGTCCAAACGGTGAAGATGTATTTGGAAAGTTTGGTCATGAATAAAAGAACAAGAGGTAAAGGGTGGAGATGTCGACAAACACGGGAGGCAACAATTTTCATTTTTATTAGATTTCTGCGAGACGGATTCCCGATGAAATTCAGTCTACGTACATGCCCGTGAACCGAAGGAAAATTTTGATTTTTTTAACGGAAGGCTGGACTACCATTCCATCCAACATTAGGGAAAACAGAACAAATACATCCTTCAGGACACACAAATCAATCAATGATTCGCCGTTCCTTTATTATCAAAGTCTTTTGGGACAGTAAGTTCAATTCATCACCAATTAGAAGACATTCTTGAACATTTAGATCATAAACATTGTCATAAGTATTCAACATACACATATGTATACCTACGATGTCTCATAATCCTTGTGTTTCGCTGTTACCTTATTATCAAAGTCTTTTTGGCTTAGAAAGTTCAGTTCTTCACCAATTTGAAGACATTTTTCATCATTTACGCCATAAACATCGTCATAGGTACTCAACATACACATATATGGTGTCATTGGTTATTCCGTTATGTAAAGAATGAATTGTGTAACTGTTACTTTATTATCAATGTCTTTTTGGCTTACTAAGTTCAGTTCTTCACCAATTTGATGACATTTTTCATCATTTACGCCATAAAGATCGTCATAGGTACTCAACATACACATATATGGTGTCATTGGTTATTCCGTTATGTCAAGAATGAATTATGTAACTGTTACTTTATTATCAATGTCTTTTTGGCTCACTAAGTTCAGTTCTTCACCAATTTGATGACATTTTTCAACATTTACATCATAAACATCGTCATGGGTACTCAACATGCACATATACGGTGTCATTGGTTATTCCGTTATGTAAAGAATGAATTGTGTAACTGTTACTTTATTATCAATGCCTTTTTGGCTTACTAAGTTCAGTTCTTCACCAATTTGAAGATATTTTTCAACATTTACATCATAAACATCGTCATAGGTACTTAACATACACATATATTGTGTCATAGGTTATTCCGTTATGTCAAGAATGAATTGTGTATCACTGTTACTTTATTATCAATATCTTTTTGGGGTAGGAAGGTCAGTTCTTCACCAGTTAGAAGGCATTTTTAAACATTTAGGTCATAGGTACTCAACATACGCATATATGGTACCTTACGTTACCTTATCGTCTCGTTTTGAGGTTATATATTTAATTATTAGGTTATTTGTAGATTTTCTTTTGAAGAATGTGAATAAAATAAGGGTGAAATTAGGTCAGGAATGTGATGTGCAATCAAAGTTACCCTTTAAATTATGAAATAACACACGATGTTATAGATTTACACTACATAGTGTTTATCTGTCAGGTGCAGTAACTGAGTTAAGTGTTATTTAAATTATGGATTTTCACTAATGGTAAACACTGCAACCACTATAAAAGTTACCCTTAACCACGTGCTAGTGCCCATTTGTTTGCCTATGACCTTATGCAGTGCCGGGCATGCGCCCAGATTATACAGTGATCGCAGTGGGCGAACATCTAAACATAAAATAATCGCGTTTATCGCGGGTTCACATTCGACGCTCTGCGGGGTTGAATTTGCCAGTTAGTCGACGCTAGACGCCGTGACGCTCTCCACGTAGCTGCCCCGAAAAGATCGACGCCTTCGGACCGGGTTTTTTTAACATCGATTGCACACAACACAGAGCCACCAATTTTCAAATGTTGCTGACGACAAACAAGTGAACGAACTTTCCGAATTCTTTTGCTCTTTGTAGATGAAAATTTTAATGACGACGTAGATAAGAAGAAAAGTTTTTGAAAAGGTAAGTTTTATTTCCATTTTAATCTAAATGTAACAGGGGAAAGCCCCTGTTAAGTCAATTATTAAGTGAAATAGAGCTGGCAGATCTATATTTTGTTTGACAGACAAGTCATTTTAATGTCTTTAAGCGAAAGTCTTGAAAAGGCACCTGATTGTAACTCTTTCGTTAAATTCAAAACATGTATCTCATGATGTCTCAAAATGCGTTGCGATCATTGATGGTGATTATTCATTTTTCATATGGTTCCTGACCATTTGGTCGATGACCTAAAATAATTTAGGCAATTTAAATTGTGTAAAGCCTTAGCAATCTCAATCAAGTCATGACTTTCAGATTTTAGCGATAATTTATTATCATGTAGACTTTAAGTGGGAATGTTGTTTTTAATTGGTTTGTGTACTCCGGAAAATTCTGTAGTAGACTCACTTCAAACACTAAAAGTAAAATGTCGCAAAGTTTGTGTTACACGCCTGGTATAGTAAACAGGAATCATTACTTTTTCCTTTCTGTCAATCAATTAATTAAACATTTCCAGCATTCAATAAATTGTATTTCTTAGTTCATAAACTTGAATCAAAATAACAATACACTTTTTATGTTTTAATTACGTAATCGGTTTGTGCAAATAAGTTGCTCATTAATATTGAAGCTAATTTATGTGTTGCATTTCTTCTTATTATTAGAACTGATAATCAACAGATATTTTATTATTGTAATTATAAATAATTGTAAACGAAGAAGTACCTATCTATTGTGCTTTATTTTCTATTTTAAAATTTTACAGTAGGTGTGAAGACACAACGTTAGCATTACATTCCAAACAAATAGACAGTCATATTCACCTTTATCGATAACAAATTATTAGCATTCGGTTTTGTAAAACGTTTGGTAAAGAAATAGCTACATTAAAGTAGGAGAGTATTTTTATCTTCCAGAAGGCTATTTTTCTTATCTTAATGTTATCAAAACATATGTACTATGGAATTCAACTTTTTATGTAATACCTACAGCTACGGATATTTTATTTATGATTTATGATTATTTTAGTGTAGAATCGACATCAACGTTTCGCCTTTTGTTGTGAGGCTTTTTCAAGGCAGATTCTTTAGTTATTGACTCCGATTCTTTTACACATATCCTAAGGGAAAGAAATGGACAATTTAGATCTTTTGTTTACTTTTTTACTGTTGGCTTTATTTTTTCGGGAATTCTTTGTTATAATAGACGATATTGTATGGTACGTTTTTTGTGAAAAAGAAAACGTGAACGTATCCGATGATGGTCAAACTACAACAATGAATGCACGTAGTTACAAAAGACAATATAACTATTGTTTATCAAATCATAAACGATCATATTTCGTTAACAAATGACTTATATAATGGTGTTTAACAATACTGACATAATAATCAAGTAGTAATTAAAATAAAACATTTGAAATTTGAAAAACAAAATCGCCATTTGACGTGTAAACTGTTAAAGAAAGCAGAGTCAATAAATGGTAAGCTATTTAGTAGGTTTTTACAATGAAAAGTAAACATAAAAATGTATTTTACGTATTACATAGTTAGTTAATATTCAACTGACTCAATGTCTCAGCTGGACTGTATTCTTTTGCCAATTTTGAACCCATTGTAATGATTCTTTTTTTATTGGGTAGGTTATGTCTAAAGGGTGACCCTATTTGAAATGTAAAAAATATTCCTTTTTCGTTTTAGATATAGACTACGTCTTAAGTGTGGCCCTACTTGAATTTATTAACTTTTTAGTTAAGTTTGTGCGTTTCGGCAAAGTGTTAGGTATTAGGTACTAAAATCGGTTTTAATGCGTCGCCGCTATATTTAAATTATATTTTGCCATTGGATTATCTGTTTATAATTAATTAACCTATTTGTTATCTTCAGTAGCACATAAATACATTATGAAATAGTCATGTTTGCTAAAACGTAGTCAGTATATTAATTATTATTACTATTATTCTCATAACACGCGTTTGGTAGGTACCAGTCGACAGGGTGGTTAATAAAATGCATTTGCATTGCCAAATTATTTATCATAACCAGCCATTACATTTACCATAGAAAATCTACATTACAATAGACATTTGACTCATATAAAGACTATATTTTATCTGATAGGTAGGTATATAAATTTGTACAAATTACCTCTTCTGAACATTTAAAATTAATTGAGAATAACCATAACCAATAAGATAACAGGGAACTAAAATCTATTTTACATTAACCACATCATGAAAACCAAAAGACTAAAATTATTCTGCATCTCCATCTTTAAGAAGCGGGTCAACAACACAATCGAAGTAAGTTATCAATACTGATAGCGTTTTGCCGTGGGCCTTTGACCAATCGTGGGATTTTTCAACACAGCTGCAATTCCAGGGATTAAAATCCAATTCAATGTTATCTGATAGCGTGGGCGGTAAACTCTCTAAAAATTCATCAGAAAGGCAAGTTATCTGGTTATACCAAAACCAAATCAAAGATGTCTTTTCGAGTGATGAAAACAATCCTGGGGGCAAGTCGGAAATTGAATTATTTTTGAAGTTGATACCCTCAGCATATTTAACACCGGCAAATGTTTTCGGATGTAGTTCAGTGATTTGATTGTAGGAAAAATCGAGCCAGCACATGTCGGTCTTGTTATCTGTTCGGGTACTCTCTATATTTTGGAAGGCATTTTCCGGTAAACTGTTTAGGTTGTTGTGCTCGAAAACTAACCGAATGAGTTTTGGCGTTCGTTGAAACCAATTGGGATTCCATTTGGTTATTTCGTTGTTACCCAAATACAAACTGGTTAATTCGGGCATATCGTTCAAAGCCGTTTCTTCGATAACACTGATTTTGTTCCATGATAAGTCCAGTATCCTTATGTTCAGATTGTTGAAAACTCCATTTTCCACTTTCGTCAGTGAGTTTTCAGATAAATTCATTCGTTCCAATTTGGGCAGAATATCAAAAGTTCCTGGTTCAATATTTTCAATCTTATTATTGCACAGTTCTATGTCGAACAAGTTCTTGAAACCCTTGATATCTCCGCGTTTTAAATTGTTTATTCTTTTTCCAATTAAAATAAGTTGTAAGGTATCGTCGGGGAAATCAAGAAGAATACTTTTGTCACTTGGAGATTCTGTTGGCGATGTTGGTTTACAGAATTGTATTTTAACAACGACTATTAAGCAGAGGAAAATTGCTTTTAGACAACACATTTCGGACAATTAAGGCTTTGTTATAACTGCGATTGTTTATACTAACTGCTATAGAAGCAGATGCTTCTTCTTATATATTTAATTTTAATATTAAAAACACACGAAGGTTACTAATAAATTAACTTGAGTTAGAGTTACAAGAATATAGCGATTGTTGTAGAAGTTTTAAGACAATTAATCAAGAAATCTCAAAATTGTACCTACTTTTCTAATTAAGTATTCACAACTGCTGCTTACTGTTTCTATTAAGGTCAGAAGTTGTCCTAATTTACCCTGTGTAATGTTGGGTGAATAGAACCGACAGGTTTTTAATACAAGTAAAGATTTACTTTTTAATATAAAGTGCTTCAATCTGTAGCATTTTTGTGGAGTGTTTTCAATAAAAACACTTTCCATTAGATTTTGTTGTGACACGTCACGTTTTTAATTGAATTACTAAACGTAATGGATTTTTTTTATAGCAGACAGTATATTTAAAAGATTTTATACCTGCTTGAAATTCGTTTACTTTGGATGTTTTTTTGGTTCATTAAAGATTTAAAAATAAAAATACAAGACAAGCTTATAAATAAAAAAAATCGGTTGTCTGTAAAGTCGATTTGCTGACGATAGATGAACGTGACAACGTCATAAGACAATACTGATGGGATGGTTTCATTTTTCAAAAGAAAATTTTAATTTTTTTTGTTTGATAGATATTTTGTATGGATATAGAGAAGGAGGTAAATGGAAATGTATTATTGTATAGCAGCTGTCCACGCGGACGCATCGCTCACTGAAGTAGGAGAGAGACAGATGTAGAACGCTGCCGAACGCGGAGGCCGATTGTGCCTCTTTGTCGCTCGTTCCGCGCTCTCGCTTGCACTTCAAGCCTTAAATGGAACGCCTCAGAGCGAGGTAACGCCGCATGAGTCATGTTTTTTCGTGCGTGCAGCCGGCTCCATCGAATTATAAGACGTTGTCACGTCAAAAATAACAAATACTCCCAACAAGTAAAATTATTTTGAACATTTGCTACCCTCTCATCCAATTTTAGTTAATGCGATATTTACCATTTTATGGCATCCCTGAAAAAAGTAATAAAACGATAACTGGTGCTTATTGTGACACAGTTGTAGCAATTTTCTGCCTTACGTCGTTAGATCGCGTCTTTTGCCATATCAAACATATATATATATCTACGTAAATATAATGCTAAAAAAGGTGTATTTTTAGCTGTAGGGTACTCATGTTAGAAAGGAAATTGAATATCAATTTGTAAAATTGATGCACGGTTCGTATTGATAGATACGTCACAACAAGGTAACATTCAAAAGAAAGTGGTAGCGGTTTGTAAACTAACCAGGCTAAATATAAGGGAAGAAAGAATCAATAATAATGCCGAATGAGCACGATTTGTGGTCTGGATTTCTCCTGGCATATTCAAATTTCAAGATATGATAATGTCAAATCCAAACAAGTTCAATTAGCAACGTTTGGATTTTGGGATCATGATTTTCTAACATCATGACATGCTAACCCGAGTCGAAAAATTGGGACTCATTTTATCCTCAAATGAACTATTTAGACTCATTTTTTCCTCATTTAGACGTTTTTAATCTCAGATACCTCAATAAGTTTTCATAAGACTCATCACATTGGATTCTAAAAAGTCTCATTTTATTCTCAATGTCTGCAATCCTCAATTTAACCTCAACAAGAAAAGAATGAGACTTTTTGAAGACAAAATGAGGTTTCCTAAATAATCTTTACTCCTTAAAAGTCTCATTTTGTCCTGATACGGGAAAACCGCGGATAAAATGAGACTTTTGAGTCTTGTAGTTTGAAATATCCCTAAAAATTCTATTGAGATCAAATGAGGACAAAATGAGTCCCAATTTTTTGACTCGGGAAGGCAATTATAATTTATATATTCTCGTGGTTGTTTTTTTCGTTGTATTTCGAGCAATAGATTCTAACTTAATTTAATTAGAAAAAGGATAGACAATTTAAAACTTAGAAAGCCTTGATTGTTCAAAATGTGTTGTCTAAAAGCAGTTTCTCTTTGCTTAATTGTCGTTATTAAAATACAATTCTGTAAACCAACATCGCCAACAGAATCTCCAAGTGACAAAAGTATTCTTCTTGATTTCCCCGACGATACCTTCCAACTTAGTTTAATTGGCAAAAATAATAAACAATTTAAACCGAGGTGATATCAAGGGTTTCAAGAACTTGTTCGACATAGAACTGTGCAATAATAAGATTGAAAATATTGAACCAGGAACTTTTGATATTCTGCCCAAATTGGAACGAATGAATTTATCTGAAAACTCACTGACGAAAGTGGAAAATGGAGTTTTCAACAATTTGAACGTAAGGATACTGGACTTATCATGAAACAAAATAAGTGTTATCGAAGAAACGGCTTTGAACGATATGCCCGAATTAATCAGTTTGTATTTGGGTAACAACGAAATAACCAAACGGAATTCCAATTGGTTTCAATGAACTCCAATGCTCATCATTCGGTTAATTTTCGGGCACAACAACCTTAATAGTTTACCGGAAAATATCAGACATATCTCAAAATTTTGATGTGTTAAGACAGTTCTGGACTCTGCATTGCAAATCACATCGTGTTCTTTTTTTTTGACCTGTGTTATCTAACAAAGACAGTTGCACCCTGATGCATTTTAATAAGAGAGTAGTGAGTATTATTAGATAATATATCGACACTCAGAGATATAACGTTGGCACTAACGATTGTATAATGTGCCCATTTGTATATGAAAAAAATAGACGTGACCTATTGCGACTTCGCGTGTTACAATTGACTTCAGGATTACGAAGCAGTTTGCGGAACTGTTTCGTTATTATGAGTGTGTAGGGGGTGGGGGTGGTTACTTTTGCATGTACATATAGTTTAGGGCTTCGTTTGTCTAACCTTGCCCCCGTTTATTTCTTTTTTGTGTTAGTTCGCGTTGCTATAGAGCCGAAAGTGCTTTATATACATTTTACAATGGCATTTACCAGAATGCGCTAATAACTTTGTTTGCAAAACTTTGTGTGCCGTAATATAAACAAAAGAAAAATGAAGTAACGTGAATTAGATTTCAAACTAGGTATTACCCAGTTAGTTTCCTTTTAGGTAACAACTTCTGGGGAATCGAATAATAATTATTATTATTACTACTTCCCATTTATGTAAATACATATTGCTATTGGTTGAAACATTGTTAGATACTGTTAAAATTATAAAAATATATGGATAGGTACAGTAACTGGCTAAGAGGGGTGCGGCAGGCTCGGGCTTTTGGTCCTGGTCATCATCATAAGATCGTCAGTCCTAAGACTGGTTGGACACGTACCTCCACTCTTTCCTATCCTGAGCTTCGCATTTCCCTAAAACTAGAACAACCCACATCCTTAACTATTTGCGAATAGTAATCTATTCTAGGTCTACCTCTACCCCTCCTAACTCCTGTTTCTGCCTCTAATATGTCTCTGACTAGACCTTTATGTCTGAGAAGGTGTCTTACCAACCTGTCTCGCCTATTTTTTATTGACTTCCATGGAGTCCTCCGTTCTCCTATTCTTTCCAATACCTCGTCATTTCTAACCTTTTCTACCCACGATATCCTCATCATTCGCCTGTAACACCACATTTTGAACGCTTCCAACCTTTTCTTTTCCGCCGCGCCCACTGTATATGTTTCTCACCCTATACAGCGCCGTGCTCCAAACATACACCTTTAACAACCTTTTAGAAGGGACTTCTTTTTATTAAAGGCGACACGACCCTGCGCTATCCTCTGCTTTATATTTTTTGGTCCTAGTGGAGTTGCTAAATTGTGAGAAGTCCTTTTTGATGAAATCCTAAAGCAAAAATGCACGAAAAGGAATAGAAATAATATCGTAGCAATAAATAAGTCCCAAACAACCTAAACGCCCTGTAATTCATCACGGAGCTTAATGGTTGATGTAGATATAAAGCGATCAGAGAGGTTATCGCGATGAATAGCGTTGGGGCCGTATTTTTTCCGCCCTATCACCTATAAACCTTTTATTGCTAAAATTCTGTGAACAACGTCCACGTTCTCGTATAGACATGCATTTGTGATAATTAAAGTACTATCTGCAAATGGTACGTTCCAAATCTAGATCATTTTCCGTTAGAATTTCAACGCTATTTAAATCACTAGCTTGGTCCGCACAAATCGGCGACATTTTAATGATGTATGTACATATAGGCAACCAACCATGCACCCAAGTATAGACATATAGATCCAACTTTGAAACTTTTTATCCACAACTAATTAATTGTATAAGATGGACAAATACAAAAGGTACGTGTTCGACTGGTTTAAATTTCCCAATTATGTAATAACTGCGGTTGTACCAACCCTGTAATGGTTACAATAAAAAAGTAATTTTAGGAAAACTTTTAATGGCTTGTCGACTACAAAGAAGCCCTATAATATTACATTCAAGTGCCTAGTGGGTAAATATTTCAGTATCGTTCCCTGTGACACGTTAATATTCTATTTTCCTAGCTGCCGAACGTGATGGATTACGCAGTTAAAGTTTTATTGGAATATGGCACGGGTCACAGATTTTCAAAGCCAACTTAGAACCGTACAAGTGTGCGAATAATGTGTATATGCATGCATACGTGGTGCAGCCCTTTCCGACTAATTTCTCAAAAGAACATGAACCGTTATTATGTAACCACGATGCGATATTTATACTTTGTCTAACAAAAGATCACTTTGTCGTTTAATAGGGAGGGTGGTTATATAAGGGCGCAGGGGAATATGACCACAATATTTTTTTTTTATAGTTTCGCGTCATAGGGAAAGCAATTTTGAATGTCCTTAATATGAGATGCAATGTGATTTGGTAAAAGCAGTTGTTTTTACGTATTTGAATGTCAATTGTTTAATTATTTATAGAAAGTGTCTTTGTATTTCCGAAGTTTGATGTATTTTTATTTCCGATGTGTTCTTTGTTTCTCAATTTAAAGGTTCGCTTGGTTTGGCTGGATTAGTTTCCGGAGATTTACCGACATTTGTTTCCTGTGAATTATCGGGTTGTTCGGAAAGTCATTTCGTTTTTTCCCGACAGAGGATTTAATTGTATTCTTTTGCACCCAACTTCACATTTAAGCCGTAAAATTTTTATATGTTTTGAGAGCTCTTATAGCAAGGCTTGTGTGTGAAAAATTCCAATTAATTCTACGCAGTAGTTTTTGGTTGGTGCCCTTTTAAATATGGAGAGCGATAAGCAGCATTTTCGACATATCTTACTGTTTTACTACAGAAAGGGTAAAAATGCTGTTCAAGCCAGAAAGAAATTGACTGATGTGTATGGAGAAGGTACGTTGACAGTACGCCAGTGCCAGAACTGGTTCGCTAAATTTCGATCCGGCAATTTTGATGTCGAAGATGCACCACGTTCGGGAAGGCCGGTTGAAGCTGATAAAGACGCGATAAAGGCATTAGTTGATGTGAACCGGCGAATGACAACACGTGAGATCGGATTGAGGTTAAATTTATCAAATTCAACAGTTTATGACCACTTGAAAGGCCTGGGATTATCCTCGAAGCTCGATATATGGGTTCCCCATGTTCTCACAGAGAGAAATCTGTGTCGCCGCATTGACGTCTGCGATTCGCTTCTCAAACGTCACGAAAATGATCCGTTTTTGAAGCGCATCATCACTGGGGACGAAAAATGGGTTGTATATAACAACGTCAAACGCAAGAGGTCATGGAGCAAAAAAGATGAACCGGCTCAAACCATTTCCAAAGCCGATATTCACCAAAAAAAGGTGATGCTGTCTGTTTGGTGGGATTTTAAAGGAATCGTTTTTTTTGAGCTTTTACCGGATAACACAACGATTAATTCGGAAGTCTACTGTCATCAGCTGGACAAACTGAATGATGCACTTCAACAGAAAAGATCAGAACTAATCAACAGGAAAGGTGTAGTGTTTCACCAAGACAACGCGAGACCTCACACAAGTTTGGTCACTCGCCAAAAGCTTTTACAGCTTGAATGGGATACAATGCTACACCCACCATATTCTCCAGACCTGGCACCATCGGATTATTATTTGTTCCGGTCACTCCAAAATTTTTTAGACGGTAAAACCTTCACCTCAAAGGAGGAGGTCAAAAACCTCCTCGATCAGTTTTTTGCCAGCAAAGACCAAAAATTTTATGAGCGTGGAATTATGCTACTAGCAGAAAGATGGCAAAAGGTGTTGGACCAGAACGGTCAATATATAATTTAATAAAGTATTTGTTTATTATACGAAAACTGTCTTTCATTTCCACAAAAAAAACGAAACAACCCTATAATTTGCTTATAATTTTACCAGGTATTAAATTTTAATAGCTGTAATTTGTCTTTGTAATGTTGCATTCTCTCTGGGGTTTAAGGGATGCTGATGCTGATAGCGAGGTCTCTATGCACCGTTGAATTGTCGACTTACTTTTTATTATTCTCACTGTAAATTGTAATATTATTTTTAAAATAGTTTTTTATCAATACCCGTGTAATTAAAGTAACCGAACAATTACGTTATCGCATGTTTGGTTGTTAAACATTTTTCATGTTACTCGTTATTTTGTGCCACTTAATAAATAATATTATACATATGTATATGGGCTAAAAAATATTTTTCTTTTCGTAGTTTCATTAACCAGTTTATTCAATTTTAAAGTAACAATACGTTAATTCTGTTGTTACAGATGTTATGGAAAATGGTGATATTGCTTGCCGTTTTAAGTGAAATGTTTATGGTGAAAGGCAGAAGTGTTGGAAAAAGAAATTCCGGTGCTTCAGATGGTCTAGAAGAAGCCGATCAGGTAAGATCAAATAAAATAATTTTTATATCATCATCATTATAAGGTCATCAGCCCTAAGTCTGGTTGGACACGTACCTCCACTCTTTCCTATCCTGAGCTAAACTTCGCATTTCCCTAAAACTAGAACAGCCCACATCTTTAATTGTTTATTTCACTGCTGTCACTGTCAATTTATTTCTCCTCTTTCTCGGCGATCTTCCTTTAAATACTCTTTTGTTTACTTTCGGAAACCTTCTGGAAACATCCGGATAGTGTATTTTTTCTTTGAACTGTTTAGCTGCTTTCCTAAAACGCAGGTACGACACACACATTTACAAATACTAAAACATCCCACATCCTTAACTATTTGCGAACAGTAATCTAATCTAGGTCTACCTCTACCCCTCCTAAATCCTGTTTCTGCCTCTAATATGTCTCTGACTGGACCTTCATGCCTGAGAAGGTGTCCTACCAACCTATCTCGTCTATTTTTTATTGACATCCATAGAGTCCTCTGTTTTCCTATTCTTTCCAATACCTCTTCATTTCTAACCTTTTCTACCCACGATATCCTCATCATCCGCCTATAACACCACATTTCGAACGCTTCTAACCTTTTCTTTTCCGCCGCTCCCACTGTCCATGTTTCGCACCCGTACAACGCCGTGCTCCAAACATA